ACACACACACACACACACACACACACACACACACACACAGTCAGCACACTGCTGTTATTGTTGTTGCAGTGCTCCCACGACACCAACAATCTACGCTTCCCTCCCCCCACATGAGCCCACATCTATCTCCCTTTCACTCCCTCTCCCTCCTGTCCTGGGCAGCCCTGACATGCCCACTTCACTTGATTTAGACTTAATTCAGCCTCTGATCTGATTGTTATCATGTGACTTTTTGCACACCTTCCTCCGAGTGGATKTTCCTTGTTGAGTTAGATCTTTTTTTCTCATCTCCATATCACAATCTTTTTTTCTCTCTCCTCCACCACCACTTCAGTCACCGAGTCTTTCTGTTGTCCAGCTTTGTAAACAGGAAGCTGATGCTTCCCCCCCCCCCCCCCCAATACCTGAAACGTGGGTGGCTTACCAGGGGGTGCCCATACAACTGCACAGTAATGGGAATCCAAGATGGTAGGGAGGGGCCCTGTAAAAAAAATCACCAGAGAGGATAGAGGAAGGCAGAAAAGCTATTGTCAAATGAGAGCAGACAGAAGCCAACCCAAAAGAAAGATAAAGAAAAACCTTGTTGATTCAGTTTTTCGTCAGTAAATAGATTGTTGATTTGCTTTTCTGTTTGTCYGTCTGTGTTGGATCCTGTCTCGAGCTGCATGCGGTGTACGGGAGGGAGGGATTAATGTCAGGGACAATCCCTCAAACTCATTTTCTTTCCAACTGTGGAGCTTGGTAGGAATTAAAGTTTGAGGATAAAGGAGAAGGACACTGCTTTTGTCCAACCCAACCGCCGCCAATGGTCTCTTGACGCGACCGAGCGAAATCTGGGGTTGATTGTTTGAATTCAGACAAGATTGGCCGTTCCAGCGTGTTCCAAAAACAAGTGGCCTGTTTCGCTGAGGTTGTCCGACCATATCTGTGAACAGGGGCAGAGTAACCTTGTTTAAATCACCCTCCCCACACCTCGCAGTTATTCAACATGTTGGGAAGTCCGTGTGAGTTTGGGGTGTTTTTTTCCTGCCAGGCGGGCTGTAATAAGGGGAAGAAGCTTGATGGGAGTCAGTTTATCACGAGCACAGAGAGCACAACAGATAGATTCCCCCCGTCTCCTCCCCTTCAGCACAGATAGACTCAGAGTATGGGCACTCAGCCAACACAATCAATCCATCTTGCTCCTAGCCCCGGTCTCTAACTCTTGTTGGAGGACAGCTCCCAAAAAAAAAAAAAAAAAAAAAAAA